TTTATCAAGTGTGAATGTATTCTGCAAGATTTACATAGAGATCGTAGAGGCGTTCAGTCTTTAACGCGATGCATATGCATCCGAACCCACAATAGGTAGAACATTTACATACACACTGTTCTACACGGCTTTGTTCCTTTTACAAATTTGAAAATTAACTGATATTACGTGATATTCAGTTGTGGTATTGTTAAGCAAATGCCAATATTTCTTTCTCTAAATATTAGGCACTATTGTCTGTTACAGTATTCTCATTGTTTTCTTGGTTGTTGAACACTTCTTCTTTCTGAGCATTTTTCTATGGTACCTTTGATTTGTAATCTGCATTCGTCTATTCTTTTGACTTTTGACTTCTGAGTAAGTCTCTAAGCCATGTGCTAAAACTGTTGTTTTACAGTTTTATAAAGTTTAGATTTAGTACTACTTGAGATATATAGATAAATATACCGAAGGAGAAAACCTGCCGCGAAATAAAACATCAAGTTGGGGAAGACTGGTCTCCTGAGTCCTGAAAGATAACCAGTCTAAGGAAGAATACCTTAAAAAAATTACCTGGTCCTCCAGGTTGGGGGTTGAGACGTCAGGTTGGTTCCCTGTCACTTGTAAAAACCCTATTTACCAAAAAGCCTAAAAATTGCCTAGGAACTTTGGATGGATCAAACAGACAACGACAACAACTACAAAAATTGACAATGAACATTGGCACTTGGAATGTACAGAGCATTAACGGAAAGGTGGAAGAAGTCATCCAAGAAATTACCAAATTGAACATGGACATAGTTATATTAACTGAAACAAAGAAGAAAGGATGTGGTACAGAGACATTGAAGAACTATGTACATATATATATATATATATATATATATATATATATATATATATATATATATATATATATAAGAGTAAGAAAAAAGAAGTACTTGTGACTCGTTTGGAAAAAATATAACACTGTTTTTGATGGGTTGGAGTCAATAAAAGGGGCTATTTGTTGACTATTTTTTACTCGAGCTTTCAATTGTGATTACAATTTTTATCAAGAGCTTCTAAAAAATACAAAATGTCTTACAAAGTTGAACTAGAAATAAAAAATTTTTTGTTAACTCACCAAATAAAATTAGTTTTTTATATAAAACTACTGCTTACATAATAAATACAAAAAATATTAATAAAAAAATGTCTTATTCTAACAAATGTTTCTCTGAAAAATTTAGATGAATTTTCTTAAGAAAAAAAAAAATTGAAATTATAAACAAATATAGAATAGCTACAACCAGCCTAAAACGTCATAAATACTAACTTAAAAATTCTTATTTTTGACATATTGTCAAAAATAAAATTTTGTTTAAAAAATTCTTCTTTGTTTAGTAATAAGTATTATTATTACATTACTAAACAAAGAAGAATTTTTTAAACAAAATTTTATTTTGACAATATGTCAAAAATAAGAATTTTTAAGTTAGTATTTATGACGTTTTAGGCTGGTTGTAGCTATTCTATATTTGTTTATAATTTCAATTTTTTTTTCTTAAGAAAATTCATCTAAATTTTTCAGAGAAACATTTGTTAGAATAAGACATTTTTTTATTAATATTTTTTGTATTTATTATGTAAGCAGTAGTTTTATATAAAAAACTAATTTTATTTGGTGAGTTAACAAAAAATTTTTTATTTCTAGTTCAACTTTGTAAGACATTTTGTATTTTTTAGAAGCTCTTGATAAAAATTGTAATCACAATTGAAAGCTCGAGTAAAAAATAGTCAACAAATAGCCCCTTTTATTGACTCCAACCCATCAAAAACAGTGTTATATATATATATATATATATATATATATATATATATATATATATATATATTATATATATATATATATATATATATATAGTTGAGTTGAAAAACATCAGCGAGCAAAATGAGGTGTATCCGTAATGATACATAAAAAAACAGCAACGCAAAATAACAGACTTTGAAGCCGTAGATGAAAATATCGTAAGAATCAACATCAATCAAAAACCTGTAACTATTCTTGGTATATATGCGATCTCTGATGATGAACCTTATGCTGTTAAAGACGAATTCTTTGAGAAAATCAATGACGAAATTACTAAAATTGGAAGTACTAGAGAAGTAATCATAGCAGGAGATGTGAATAGTAGAGTCGGGCAGAAGGTAAACAACAAAGTGGTAGGTCCGCATGGAGAAATATCCCAAAATGACAATGGTGAAAGATTAATTCAAATTTTCGAAAACCATCAGCTAAAAATAACAAACAGATTTTTTAAAACAAGGAGATACACAAATATACATGGATCCAAGTAACCAGAAATTTAAAATCGATCATAGATTACGTGATTACAAAACAAAATACAACATTACACGTAATGGACACAAGAGTATATAGAGGAGTATCATGTGATTCGGATCACTTTATGGTAAAGTCCGAAATAGTTTTTCCGTTTAGATCCAAGAAAACAAAAGAACCACCTGAAGACACAGAAATTGTTAACACAACAAATTACAACCTGGACAGCTTACAACATGAAAATATGAGAATACTATATCAACGAAGACTAAATGAAAAATTAGTAGACATCATCGAAAATGTAAATAGACAGTGTGCAAATAGCCGCAAAAGAAGCGCTTGGTTTAAAATCCCAACGACACAGTAAAGAGCTATGGTGGACCAAAGACATACAAAACCTAATAATTGAGAAAAAGAAAGCGTACGCACGGTGGTGTTGAATCAGGAAATTCTTATTACTTTTTCCAAGACCAAATTAAACAGAGTGCAAGATGTGCGTCACACTGTCGAACGCCATTATTCATGGTCATTGTGCGAGAAGTTTACCAAATAATTTGGTATTTTAAATTCATGCGGTGTAGTGTAAAAGACCTTCCTGTTTTTGCTGTTATAAGCAAATAAAAAACCATATTCCGTTGGAATATTTCCATTTTCAAAATTTATTCGATTTATTCGTTAATACAAATTACAAACATACCTAGCAATATTGTTCGAATTTTACGATGGGTAAAATTATTAAAAATGTATTTAATTTTTATAAGTGAATCATAACTCTCATTAGTAAAATTAATTTATTGATTGCAAGCCACTGGCAAACAAACATACAGTGCTTTCATAAAAAATAAAATTAATACATAAAACATTGTATAAAAAGTAATAAATTAGAGATACAAATAAAATAATTTTACAATTATTTTTCATGTCATGTTTGGAAATATAATACCGGACGTAATGTGCATTTCCGATCAAATGTTTAATTGCCAATATTATTTAAATCACTTTTTTAATTGTTTTTTTCTTCTATATGATTAACTATCATCATCATTCTGATTTTACAACCGTACGTGGGTCCTAGCCTCCTCAAGAATTCAAGCACCCTCAAGCGCGTATTCCCATATTCCCATCACATAAAAATTGTTAGACCAGGCAAATTAGCTCAATTGCAATTAAAAAAATATTTTTTTTAATAATATATTTAGGGCCGATTGTTCGAACGCTAATCAAAACTTGATTGTAATGAAATATTTAATTACAATCAAATACGTCACAGCAGATGTCAAAATTATTGAAAATTGCTTACCTATTATTATTATTATTATTGATTTGTAAATAAAAACATAAAATTAATACCAGAAAGAGTTTAATTGAATAAAATAAATCAGTCAACATAACCTCAAAATTTGACGTATTTAATTTTAGTTAAATATTTGATTACAATCAAGTTTTGATTGGCGTTCAAACAATCGTCCCTTTAAGTTTTATGATGGAAAGTGGTAGGTGGGAATATATTACATAAAATAAAAATAAATTAAACAGCTGAAAAGTTCCGAGGGTCATTTGAGGGGTTAAGCGGTGGAAAAAGTTTCGTTAATTTTTAGAGAAATTTGACATCACATCAAAAAATTTAACATAACCTTAAAATTACCAAGAAAACTGAAGAAAAACGTCTTTTTTCAATTTCTTTTTATTTCTGTTAAAGTTGTTAAATTTTTATGAAACTTGGTGAAAATATACTTTAATGTACTCTTAATTATCACATTTTATTGGAAAAATAAATTCAAAAGTTTCCGGAATATTCGAAATTTTTCGAAAAAAAAACACCCCCTTTTTGAATAAAAACTTCCATGCCAAAATTTTCTTTTTTTACTTCTGCTAGGGCTCATTTTCTTAGCTTAAACTTACCACTTTTACCCCAAGGCTTTCACAGAAAACCACCTCGTAGTTGGAGAAAAAAAATCGATTTACCAAGAATCGGTACGCCTTAAAAAAATGTAGTTGAGATAATTATTTTCAATAATAATAATAAATGTAGATGAGATAATAAGAAAAATGTTTATTAGCACTTTTGTGCCGAATGAATCGTTTTCTCAGAAACAAGGCTTGAGGCTTGTATGCGTGAGAAATAAATTTTAAAGAAAATTTTTGTCAATTCGATAAATTCGGTATCTTTTGATAAGAGTTTTCTATCGACTACAATCAAAATGCATTTTAAAGGTGAAAAGTGTAGCTTTCTCATAAAATATTTATATATTGCCTCAAATGAAGTCAGTTTTTATAAAGGTGTTAATAAATAAATAAATAAATATATTAATATATATATATATATATATATATATAAATAATGTATAGCGATAATGTATAGCCTAAAAAGGTATTATTAGGTGAATTATGTAGCTGAAGTTGTGTCGTTTTATAAAACGTACTTGTGTAATAAAAAGAAGCAGCTTTAAACGTGTTAGATCGTTTGTTTAACCCAAAATTGACATTTTCAGCAAAATTCAGCGTGTTCGTATGATTTTTAGAGGTTCAGTGGCATTTTCGTCTCTGACGGCTGGAGTAAACCTTAGCTATGGTTGGAAGGTATTGTCTGCTTGATGGATAAATGGTCTTCCATAAACAATACAGTGCTCTCACTATGATATTAAAATATTTTTGCAGATAATATATCTTTATTATTAACACAATAATTATTTTGCAGTTTGTGGTTGGTTTCTTCAGCTTCCTGGTGTTATTGTGCTGCGAAGGAGCTACCGCAGGTTTTAGAGCTGCTCTGGTACCAATCCATGCCTCCTTTGGACTGACGACTTTCATGCTAGCCATAGCAGCTTCTCTTACAGGACTTACGCAAAAAGTTTGGTTCGTGCTAGGGTACGTATGTGACAAATATTCCATAAGATTATTTAATATCTATAGCCAACACTTTTGTCAATGAGGATGACCTTTAAAGTAACTAATACATAAATGTCATAATCTTCCAAATGCCGAAGCTTATATATATATATATATATATATATATATATATATATATATATATATATATATATATATATATATATATATATATATATATATCTATATATATATATATATATATATATATATATATATATATATCTATATATATATATATCTATATATATATATATATATATATATATATATATATATATATATATATTAGTCTTCTCACAAAATCTTCGCTGATGAAACTTAAAAGTTGAAATACGTATAGTTTTGAATTGAATCTAAAGTTGGTTCAGTTAACTATAAACCAAGATACATACGTCGATGAAACGCAAAATCTGTCGAAAAACATCGCCGCTGTCCATGAGATTGTGCAGGACAATCCGAGCCCATGATACAAAAAATAACAGGAATGATATAGCACATGCCACTGTCAGCAGATCTCCTACTCTTGACGTCACAATGATAGTGGCCATCATTATAATATATCTGTTAACAAGAGTTTTATTATTTTTTAGCTTTTGGCTTCTTTGGTAAGCTTGTAGATTTTATGGTGTTTTGTCAGATTCAAGTTGCTTTTTAAGTTTAATTTGAGTTTTTACTAAAATCAAAAAGACTCTTTATGCGATTTTAGTGATAATGGCTTTATAGGTATATCTACTTTATATGAATAATATTTTGGTGTTTTAGAAGTTATAGATAAGGTATGTTTAATTATTAAGAAGAATAGTAAAGAGAAACAATGCTTACTTTTTACTCGCCCATGTGTTCCGCTCCAAAAACACTCACTGGAGATCGAAAATCAGGGGCTACAAGACTATTATCAGACCAACAGTATGTTATGACTAGGAGACATGGGTGATGACAGGGGACAAAAAACGAAAGCTGGACGTCATCGAACGAAAAGTCCTAAGGAAGATATTTTAACGTATTAACGAAAACGGAGAATGGACACAACCATGAACTCTACCAACTGTTCAAAGAGGCACCGATCTCAAAATTCGTTAAACAGAGATTTCGATAGGCTGGTCATGTAGTGAGAATTAAAACCGGAAGATTGCCAAAAAGAGCCCGAGATAGTAAAATGCAGGGCGCAAGACCAACAGAAAGGCCACGGAAAAGTGGGTGGATGAAGTGGGAGCGAACGCGCAAAATTTGCTAAATGTGAGAACTTGGAGAAGATCGGCAAGGTTGGAGACATAGTTTGGAGGAGGCCAAGGCTCGATTTGAGCTGTAGCACCATTGGAGAGAAAGAGGGAGATGTTTAATTATTATTGAGTGAGTACTTAATACTTAACCATACTCACACCCCTCCTGTATTTTTTAGGGACTTTCGCTAGGAATAATTTATAAGCTAAACATAAATTGCGTGGTGCAGTAACTGGTTGTTTGAGTGATAATCAGACAAGAGATGCCGATAAACCTGGAAGGATTCATAGTTTTCTCAAGGACCCGGTAATGAAAAAACTATGGATTATTGCTTGTTGCCATGAAGACAAATGTAATACTAACACCACAAGGATTTGTTCCAAACACTTTAAGCCGGAAGACTTTTAAAGGAAATTTGCAGCATTAATTGCTGCAATATGAATCAAAGAAAAAACCTAAGCTGAAGGGTGATGCTGTTACTTTTGTTAATCTTCTACAATCAAAAAGTTTATTCGCAAATCAAAAAAGGCAGGAAAGGCTTTCAAAAGAGTCGAAGAGAATTGTGGAACAGATAATTACACAATCTCTTTTGATCTCGAATGTATTTTAGAATTCAGAAATTAAACCTAAAACTAGACGAAGGCTCGATCCCCTCCTTGCAACTGGTGCCAAATAAGACAAGACAATCAAAAGAGAGCTTGTCAAATTTACGAAGGTTACCTTTTTATGATTAAAAAACGAAGAATTAAAAAAAAAATTAAATAAAATTCACAAATTTATTTTACAGATTTATTTTTGTTCACTGTATTATTTATTCATTTTTTCAATCAAAATAATAAAACACCTATATTTCAACAAATCCGAAATAGTTCAATCGAAACTCTATTAATCTATAAAATGACTTTTTATTCACAATTTCGCACTGGGAGTATAACACCTGTTATTCTTTGTACCATGATCCGAGCCAGTCGATTTCACGTCGTGAAATCGTCATTTCACATCGTTATTTATTGTACAAAATGCAACTAACCCAGAAGAAGAAGGAAAACAACCATAGACAACGAAGCGTGTTCGCTAAATGTGCACTGACTCTAATTTTCTAATTAAAACTATATCTTGCACAAAATTTATTTTAAATCTTATCACTACAGCTGTTTCGGCTGATTGCCTTTCTCAAGTGATCTAATTTTGGCTTGGGTTTACAAATTTACAAAAAATAGATTGGGTTTAAAAATTACAAAAGCCAAAAATAGATCACTTGAGAAAGGCAATCAGCCGAAACAGCTGTAGTGATAAGATTTAAAATAAATTTTGTGAAAGTTTGAAAACAAAGTTTTCAGTGTTTTATTGTTACATAAAATGAATTTCCATCAAGTACCGATCGAATCCATCAATTATTTAAAACTATATCGATATTGTACATGTATCTCGTGTTATTTGTTTGAGCTATAGATATTAAATAAACCTTTTTTAATGACTGATGAAATGATACATTTAAACCTCAAAGAATTTTTGTACATTCTCCAACTGTCCATAGAGATAGACAATAACAACAATGATTATTAGTATTTCCAGACCTTGAATTTTTTAATAGAAACTTTTCTGGGTTTGTCGGTCTGTTATAAATAAAACACTTAATTATTACTTAAACGTTTCGGCTATTAGCCATTTTCAATAATCACTTTTATTATATAAACATCACATAATACACTTTATTTTTATGTCTTGGTCTGCCCTCTTCCCTCTTTGCTATTTTACAATGAAAATGAACTGTTACAGAGATATTTGACTCTTTGAGCCTCTTTTATCTTTCTTTATGTGAATCATCTCCAACATACATCTGTTGTTGTAGTTCTATTCTTTTTCCAAAATCTGTACATTTTCAAAATCAAAAGAATGTCTATTTTCTAAATAATGCTTAGCTAAGGCTGTAGTAATAGATTGATTACGGCTGTCGCCGCTTCTCCGTCCCCAATTTCCATCTTTTTTCTGTCATATACAGTTGCCTCTTCTAAGTCTCTTGCCGCCATTGCTTCATCAATATCGTTGCTCCAACTTCTCCGTGGTCGTCCTCTCTTTCTTTTTTCAGGAGGGATCCATTCCAGTACACTTCTAGGCCATCTGTACTCTGGCAGTCTTTAACATGTCCGACCAGATTAATTGCTTTCTTTCTATGTCATCATTGATATTTCGCTCCATTTTCATTTCGTTTCTTATTTGTTCGTTTCTAACTCTCTCCAGTTTCGATCTATCGCAGCTTCGTCTCAGATAATCCATTTTTGTCGTCATAAGTTGTTTCTATTAGCTTTGGTGACGTCCCATACTTCCGAATTATAAAGTGTAATACTTTGGACTATACTACCGTAAATGTGTTTTTTGGTCTCTCGTCGAATTGTTTTTAGCCAGAGAAGAGAGTTTAAGGCACGGGTCGCTACTCTGCCCTTGTTTATTCTGTCTCTAATTTCATCTGCGCTATTTACCTTCTTGTTGAAAATGACCCCCAAATATTTGCAGGATTGTACGCCTTTGATTTTGTCGTCTTCCAAGACTAGGTTCTTGCAGTTTTCTTACCGTATAGCTAAGGTCGTAGCTGTCTTCGACAATTACTACCTGGTCATCCGCAAAGAAAAGTGTATATAGCGTGTTTTCTTCCACCGTTATTCCCAGGTTTCTACATTTTTTTTTACCCACTTCACTAAGGATCTGTCCAAATAGATTCTAAATAAGGTGGGTGACAGACAGCAGCCTTGTCTTAGTCCATTTGTTATTTGAAAAGGAGAGGTGATTTCTTATCCCATTTTAATTCTTACAAAGTTTTGTTCTTAGTATTTTTGAGTAGCGTTAATAAGAATTGGGTTTATTTTCAAGTTATCCATTTCTATCCATAGTTTTGAGATCGATACACTGCCATATCCTCTTTCCAAATCTATTAAAGCTATATGGGTTTCTCTATTTCTCTGCACTCTTTTTTCCATTGCACTTTTTAATGTGAAAATATTATCCATAGTGGAGCGTCCGACCCTAAATCCCGCTTCTTCGTCGGGTTGTTTGTCTTTAATATCATTTTCTATCAGGTTTCGTAGTACTTTTGAGTATATTCGGCTTATGGTATCAATCACTGCGATCTCTTTATTGTTTTTAGGATCCATCTTTGTGCCTTTCTTGTGTATTGGAGAGATAGACGATTGCCTCCATTCTTGTGGAACTTCTTCTCCGTTTAAGCATCTTTCGAATAATTTTCGGATCATTTCAAACAGTTTTGATGATCCATACCTAATCAACTCTGGATGTATTCCGCCTGGGCCTGGAGATTTTTTTAATTTCATTCCCTTAACTTCTTCTTTCACTTGTTTTATTGATATTTCTATTCTTCCTTCTACTTCCACTTGTTCATTTGTCTGTTTAAACCTTTCTCTTCTCTCTGTTAATAAGTTCGTAAAATGCTCTACCCATGTGTTCTCTGGTATTCTATTTATGACTTGGTTTTTTGTCGTTGTTCTCATCAGGCTGTAGTAATTAATTTGTTAATTTGTACACTATGTTTGTCTACAGCAATCATTAAACGTTATAAACTGCTTTGTACTCTTAAAAAACGCCATTTCCACTTCCTGACCTCAGATCAACAATATTATTTTTAACAAAAAGAGAAATCATACGATTTCTACCTGGCGAAATAGAGTAGTGGCTATACCGCTCTGAGGAAACCTAAAGAGGTCGAAATACGTATCAGCGGCTTGCCGCTGCTCTAAAAATCT